AGCAAAAATGAGTAATAAAGTATCAAAAATAAAAAATCTTGAATATATTAAGCTTTGAATGGATTAACCTATTGTATTTTTCATAAATATATTTGTTTGGATGATTTTAGCCTGATGACAATGATTGTTGTGAATTTTATGCATATTGATTTGTGATTGTTAAAAATGCTTATAGGGCCATGATGCTTAAAATTACTTAACTTATTCATAATGCTTGGATATTGTAGAACATTTTTTTAACTTTATTGTTTTATTCTCAATTATTTTAATTCTTGATTTGTGATGTTGAAAATTGATTAACATCTTTTGCTTAGGTAATATATATTGATTCTTTGTTCATCTATGATTTTGTCAAAATACTTACTTTCATGTTGATTAATTCAACTTGACCTTAATCCTTATAATTTGAAAGTACTAAAATTATCTCTTAATTGTGAAAAATCTTTTGCAAATATATCTATTCTTTTTGCTTAAATGATTTGTTAAATTTTTTATGAAATATTTTTGTAATATACTTGCTCTTACGCTAAATGTTTTATTAATTTTTGTGAAATATTTTGACAATATTTTTTTGATATTGTGCTTAATTATTCTATCTCTTTTTTAAAAAAAATTTTTAATTGATGAGCTACTTGATTTTAAATGAAAATATATCATTGGTTCAAATATTGCTCTTGTCAAGTATGTGTGCTTATGTGACAAATATGATTTAGCTTCACTTGACATGTTTGCAACATGACTTAAAAGAACTATTTTCTTATAATGCTTATGTTTGCCTTAAGTCTTTTTTATTATAGCTTACAACTTCTGTTGATATATTTATACTTTGGTACTAAATTTTTAATTTGTTTTGATGATAAGTATGTCTTCCTTGAGTTTTTATTTTTAAATGGCCAAAAATTTACTTTGACATTTTTTTTGTGATTTCTTAAATACATATAAATATTAAATGTCTTTTTGTGTTCATAAATAATCTAAAAAAGTTTTATATTTTAGGCATTATTTAAGAGCTTTTGCTTTAGTACCAATATTATACTATATGATGTTTATTATGATGAATGGCCTTGAGCTTAAGCTTATATCTCCCTTTGCTATTAGCAATTTGTGCTTAACGAACAAAATTTATTTTGTCTATAATAACTTAAAATATGAAATTTATTTTCTAACAATTGGTATAATTTTTACAATTGATATTTTTAATGCTACTAATGAAAATTTTTATTAAGAAATTTTTTTAAGTTTATACTAGGAAAACTTGAAATAAGTATAAATGGTCAACAATCTCTTTGGGATTTCAAGTATAGCAAGCAAAGCATTTTAATCAATCAAGCCCAAGTATAAAAAGATTAGCTCAAATGACGTGAAATGGAAGATTCAAAGCTTCATTCAACTACAATGAGTACAACAATATAGCTTAAAAAGGATTGAGGTAATTATATTAAATTTATGCTATATACTTACAATTTATAATGTTTAATACATGATTTGATAAATACTTGCTTTGATATGTGTAAAAATGAGATATTGTGGTTGAATATATGAACACATTGCACAATTAGTTACCGAGCTATTTGTAAGGATTATTTTAACACTCTTAAAAGCTTGGATTGACTATATACACTTTGCTTGATATTCATGCCTAATTTTTTTTATTGCTTTGATGAGAATATATTTTTAACGCATGAATATTTGGTTAATGCATGAATCTTTGAACATGTATTTGAGTTAAATTGATTAATTTCTTTGAACATGTTCATTAATTAAGATCATTGAAATAGAATGTACCACATTGTTTTTAAATATTTGCATATTTTTGGTATATTACTATATATGATTTAAAATGATTTTGCATATGCTTGTGTGATTTTGTTTGAAATAAATATATATTTGATTACTTGTATATGCTTAGATTAAATACATTATTGTGCATTCAAATAAATAGGAATATACTTGAATAATTATACTTTCACTATTTCATTGCTATAGCATATGTGTTTATCATGTTTTAAAAATCTTGCTAATATTTTTTATGACATGATAATTGATAGAACCTTATCGCTCATTAATACTCATTTCTTATTAATTGTATATGAGCTTATGGTTCTTAGTTTGATAGGATATACTTATGAAATATATGTTTATCATTTTAGATTTATTAATTTAATCTTTCGTATGCTTAAAATATGTGTAATCATTGAAATTTAGTGAACACATTTGCTAAGAATTTTGTGAACTTCCATTGATGCTTATTTAGTATGCATATCCTTATTGTTTATATCTTTCATGCAAAATTAAGTGCCTTAAATTGTTTCAGTTCTTTTTTGCTCAAAGGAAGAAAAACCTTGCAATTTTGCTTAGATTAAAATGATTTGTTTTGCAATAACAATTTGTATGCTTTGCCATAACATATCTTTAACAATTGATATCCTTAACATTTGGTATTAGCTTGTATATATGTACTTGAATTGTATACTTAATTGATATTGATGTTTTATGTTCAAAGCGCATTTGTTAATAACATGATCTATGAGTTGCATGCATATCATTTCTCTATTCTTTGCTCATATGTTTCATGTTGTTAGTTTGAATGAATAATCATGTGCTAAAATGTTTTAATTGGATACACCTTATATTTTTTATGCTCTTATGATTAAATACATGTATGTGAACTTTTTGTGTACATTACATTTGATTGCATGCATTCAAAATGCTCTTGATGTTATTGATATCATATATTTTGTCCCATGCCTTGAATTGATCTCTCTTTCTTTTGTAATAATAAAAAGGGAAAGAGTTCACGGATATTTCTTCTTATATGCTTATAGCAATTGGTATAGGAGTTTTAATATTTGATATAAAAAGCTTAAACAAAAGGGGATGAAAATGAATATGTGAATATTTACTAATAGCTCTTTGTTTACTTGCTCATGCCTTTTTGCTATGACAAATAAAAGGGAGAAACATTATGTGGACAAATTTTCTTATGCTTGATATACATATGTTCTTGTGTGTGCTTAATTTTATTATATGCTTTGACATATGTATGCATATGTTTATGCTTAATTGTTATATTTGCTTTAACATATGTTTGTTGAGTCATGTTGGATTAAGATGCATTGATTATGGGGGAGAATATTGAGTTTTAGCATGCTTAAGAGGGAGTTTTGCAAAATAATTTTTGAAAATGGCTTTCAAAATCCTAAAATATTTTTCAAGTTTTTCCATCAAGCAAATTTATCTTTAATTTTGTCATATAAAAAAAAAAGAGATTATTAGCTTTGAATTGATCCTTATTTTCAAATGATAAAACATTAAGTTAAATAAGTTTGATTGTGGTTTTACAAAAGATTAATTTAGTATTTTTTTTATTTCTTATCATTATTGTACTAAATACAAAATATGTTTATCAAAATGATTTTTGATGTGCTAAAAATTGAAAAGCTTCGAAATATGTTTTGAATTCGAAAAGAGAATGTTTGTAAGTGTTTTATCAAGTGAGAAATGTATTTATTCATGTTGGGAAAGAAGGGATCAATCACTTTGCTTACAAAATTGATCCCCTAGCTAAACCAATAGATCCCCTTTTATGTAGGATCGATTGATTTTTCATCCAGAATGCTTCCGAGTTCATTTTTCAACAAAATCATTAGTCTCCTATGATCCTGGATCAATTGGATCTAGGGTTTGAAGAATGGATCGATTGGATATTCAACAAGATCGATTGGGTATACAACCAGAAAGTAAAGCAACCTTGAATTTGGCTTAACAGGATCAATCAGGTAAGGGAACTGATAAATAGAGTTCAGGCACAAGATTGATCGAGTCCTTTCACTCAATCGATCGGATTTGCCCAGATTTATGTGTAACGACTAGTTTTTCAAGCTTCCAACAGATATTTTCAACACCAATCAATCCCTAACGGCTACAAACTCAAATCCTTTATAAATAAAACTCCTCAAACACCATTGAAGCCAAAAGAGAAGATCTAGAGCATTCAATCAATATCTCTCAAGAAATCAAGAGTTTTAAAGCTAAAATTTTATATTTTTGTATTTGTTCTTGTATCCAAAATTATTGTTGTACTCATTCATCAATTTTTTTGTTATTCATTAGGCAAACATTTAACCTTAAAGAGGTATTTTAGTTTGCAAAATTATTTGGGTTGTTTTGTAAAAAAAATGTGAGATATGCTTTTGATCTTGTAAAAGTAGAAATTGTTATTTAAGCCTTAAAAAAAGATAAAAATTTAATATAAGATAAGTTTGTATCTTGTAAGTAATTTTTTTCAATTTAATGGATTAAAACCTCGATATGGACAACTAATAGAAAAGATGTAAATGATTTATAAAAAATAATCGAACCTTTATAAATCATTATATTTGATTTTTTACCTGATCTGTTTACTTTAATTATTATTTATATTTGCTTCAAGTTTATCAATTTATTATTAGTTGCATCATATTTTGATATTATTTTTAATTTTACATTCAATTATCTTAAAATTTATTTTTGAAAAAATTTGAAAAAAATCCAATTCACCTTTTATTCGATTACCATCTACATCTAAAAGCTAATACCATCTATATCTAAAAGCTAATACATCATACCATATTAAGGAATTACCTTATTGAAATACAATCCCTAATTGGAAACAAAAAGGGTACAAATCCCTTGAATAAAATTTTCAAGTAAAGAATTTTATTTATATAAAGATTTTAAAATTTTTAAAACGAAATTATCTTATTTCTAAAATAAAAGCTAATTGTCAAAATTTTTATTTTTTTTATTTTTTTTCATATTATTAGTAAATCTACACATTTATACAAAATTAACTGCACTCAATGCATTTTTCTTCATTTTTTTATTCTATCTCTAATATCATTATTTCTTTATTATAATTATTTTTTCTCATCAAATTTTAATATTCAAAATTTCTTTTTAAAAAATATTTATCCAAACAGTTCAATTACAAAGACTAGCATTTTGAAATGAATCAATTCAATACGCTTGCATTTTTAAATTTTTAAAAATTCCAAAATTCCTCTCTCAAACACCCTAAAACTCTATTGATATTTTCGTTTTTAAAAAAATAATAAAAAAAGGAAAGTTTAAAAAAGAATTAAAAAAATTTTCATCTACCATTAAGGCCTTTAAACTGAGTTTCATGAAAATTACACTCAAACTTATTTACATTCAGTGCAACAACAACAACCGTCTAACATGATGGCATAAAAATATGGATCTAGGATTATAATCTGCAACTTGATCTACTACAACTCATTATAACAATATGTATCTTCAATTTCTTAAGAAATGTCAAGTGAAAATAATGACAATCAAACTAACATTAAACTAGGTATGGGAAATCGCATATTTATGAAAAAAGGCATTCCCCCTACTGAAAACTTGATGAAACATTTCATACAAACCTGTTTTCCACTTTAAAATGAACAGCAAAATGTCAAAAAATTGTTTGTGACTTGTACTAATGTAGGAAACCTTCCTGTTTAGCCACCAACATTATAGTAGGTAAACTACACGCACAGTTTGCATCAAGCAAAGTAACCGGAGAACCCTGAGAGCTAAAAGCTGGCAGTACTCTGCTCAGTATCTCCTGTTAAAACTGAATTTTAGTTAGGCCACAACACATCATGCAGCAAGGTCACAAATTTGGTGAGAAATTGAATAGAAGTACAGTGTGAGAATAAAAGTCATGCATGGCAAAATACCACCGTTGAACCCAGAAATATGTTTAGCGATCAATTTATTTTATGAAGGCATTAGGGAGGCTTACTAGGTTTACCGAATGGACATTGTATGATCTCTAAAGCTCTCTAGAGACATCATCTTGATCCTCCATCTCCTCAACAATGACGTACTTCGCAGCATGCTTAGTTGGGGATGACCCCGCTGTTTCATCTACTTCTTGTTTACCCTTCTGCAGCTTTCGGTATCTTCAAAAAGGATAAGAAAAACAACATAGGTATTTTAGGTCAGCTTAGCCATGGTAGAAACCATAAAGCAAAAGGAGATCATTAAACAAACTCAGGAATTACATCAGTGAACTCTAAAAGGAGTTGAAGAAATAGATTGGACAGACAAATCCATATTAAAATTTAATGACAAATCCATATCCTCAGTTACAGAAGATACCAAGTAATAAATTTGTCTGTTCAATATAATTTCATATCCTCAGTTGAACTCAACCGCATAGAGGGAAAAACTAGATATTGGTTACAAATCCAAGCATGTCCCTCTTCTTCTATGGAATATTAGTTCAGAAGTTGTGATTCATTGAATAAAGAGAACAATATGGGTGGTTACAGAAGTAATGACCAGGCCATCCACACAAATCGAGGTAAAAATTGCAAAACATGAATTCTTAGGGATTACTGAGAGAAATTGGAAATAGATGAATTAGGGTTTAAAATTTGGGAATTTGGAACTGGTTGAGTATAAATTTGAAATAGATACAATTAAGGTAAGAAAATTGGTAATTCATATCAGGTTATGTCAATTTGCCAATAACACAAGTAGGAGAAGAAGATAAAAAGTGGCCTCATTTTACTAAGCGCCAGAAATCCCACGGACAAGAAAGCCTCATCCTTTCGAGGGTTTAGAGCAGCAAATAGCAGTAACTCTCCTAATACCTCATTACATTGTAACAAAGTGACTACATAGCATACTGGGTTCTCCATGACTGTTATCTAACAAGAATAAATCATCACATCCAAAAATAAACTAAATGAATAAAATAAAGAATTGCAAGAGGTATTTGTGAAGTTTGAGATTGATAGTAATTATAAGAGACTAAGAAATGCTAAAATTGTGTAAGTTAATTGGCTAACTGTGCAACGTAATATAACTAAACATAGAAGTCAGAGAAAAACAAAGAGCAACTAAATCAATTAACTTAGTAGCCCAACAACTAAAAACACCAAATTCTGCTATTAGTTTAAAGAATAAAAAAATGCAAAAACACTAAGATAAAAATTCTCCCTACAAATGACATACAACATTCCCAGATCCTCAACAAAGTTCAATACCTCAGGGGTGGGAGTTTAATAAAAGTGCTAATCTCTAGTCTCTTCGTGCAAAGCCATCTAATTCCATGCCTTCACTAATATAGAAATGACTCCATTATGACTAAAACCTCCAAACTTTGATTTCAGATATAAAAAGGCTGAATTTTAATATCTAATAAAATAATAAGATCTCAAAACAATGAATTGGAAACATATAAATATTCTTTTAGCATGGACCTCCTAAAAATTCAATATCTCAGCCACAAGTGCTAAACTTTAAATAAAATGTTACAACTTCAGAAAGTTTTGAAGGGAAATCACTAACTACAATTTTTTGCGTAGAAGGGGGGGCCTCAAGCCAGAACAAATTGCAAATTCATAAAGAAGATTTATTGACCACTTACTTGTACCAGTTGAATAAGCTGACTCCAACCATGATTGTGAAGAGTCCAGCTCCTTTTAACCAGGTAAACTCATCATGGAAGTAAAATACTGCAACCTGAACAAGTATTAGAAAAAGAATTAGAAAATAACTGCAAATACGTGGTAGGAAAATAAACAACAGAGTGCAATCAGCATGAACAGGAAAACAGCAAGAAACTAACATTATGCATGTGAAGGCTGACAACAGATGAAATCAAGAAGATTTTGTTGGATAAAATAAAGAGAATCAGGATTCCACTCCCAGCCCAAATAAAGCCAAAAAATTAGTGAAAATCAAGTAAGACCTGGTACCAAGCCATCAAACAGCCCACCCAACCCAATCCAAGACCTGGTTGTTAAAATGAAATCTGATAAACAATGTCTCCTCTTGTGTGAACAGCCTCTGACTCTCAGCTCAATCTCTTCTACCATTCATTTGCCATTCTTGACCTAAATAAGCAACTCATTGATTGCCCTCCATTTTGGTAATGACTCCAGGATACGGTTGGAAGAACTATGGATTACCACCAAGAACATCTTCAATTGAGCTCAGTGCATAATAATATCCTCACTTAAGTCATTGCATAAAAATGAGAATGTAGACAAAAAATATCCTCACCCTTACTCTAGATTGTAGTGATTAGAATATCCTCGCTTATGCTCATCGCATTCAAATATGTGACTAATCATAAATCACAATACATTAGCATTGAGGGGTTGAAATAAGATTATATGAAACATGTAGTCCATGTTAATAAAAATACTCATTAAAATTATGACATGTATTCCTACTTTTTGACAAGTCAACCTTTTTTACACAGTTGATATGGAGTCAATAAATGGTGAAATAGTGTTTCACCAAGGTTTAAACAGGCCCTGACACATATTCCTACTTTTTAACGAGTCAACCTTTTTATACACATTCGATATGGAGTCAATAAATGGTGAAATAGTGTTTCACGAAGGTCAATTGATAGTATGTAAAATTTAAACAGGCCCTAGAATTGATATGTAAAAAAATAAAATGTGTCACAATTTCAATGGAGTGATATTTGCTGCCGTGGAGTAATAATTCAAACTATTCTTTCTTGGAGGGGTTGTTCATAAAATTAAGCTGGCAAAAGCTAACCCTGAGGAAACAACTTGCTTGAAATCCAAACTAGTCAAAATTGAAAAGGCTTAAAAGCCTACCACACAAACAAGTCAAACACCATAAACTCTAAACTCTAAGAAATCAAACCTGATCCATAAACAAAGCTAGGCTGTAAAAACAGAATGGAGCTGAACCAATCTTCCTTGGCAGGCTCAACTTGACTAGATATTACCAAGCTTGAACACAAACCTAGCTCACCTCAAGCTCAAGAATTATTGATTGAACTCAGCTTGGGGTAAGCCATTTTGGCTCAATTATAACCATGGAGCTCATTTTTGCCATTTTCACTTACTTTCTAAAGTTTCAAATGGATATGTGCAATACATATAACAAAATATATATATATATATATATATCCAATGATAGATGACTGCTATCTCCAAGGAAACTATCTGCAGCAAGCACAAGTAGATAATAATTGTTTGTACTACCAGGGGCTCCCAAGTTGTATCTTAAATTGATGACTAGCATGAACTAATTCATAAGTACCAAAGTTTAAAAAAAAAAATGAGATGACTGATGAGACAACGTTTTTTTGAAGGACTCACACATGCAATTTTAAGATAAGGGGACTAGAATGCCATTTACTTTGGACCTTACTGAGTCAAACAAAAAGTCAGAATGCTGCATGTAACCCTTTAGTAAAAAGCAAAGATTTTTCAAAACCATTAAATGATAAAAAATATATATATCTAAAGAAAACTATATACCAATATGGTGACAGCCTCCTTCACAACTCCAGCTATTGTCACTGTAACTGCACTTGTTACAGAAACGAGGATGTACTCTGTTAAAACCTGCACCAACAAGAAAAGCTAGCTTCTAAATAAACCACAAGATTTGTATTACAGCCACAGAAAAGAGAAATGTAAAGCTTGTAATTTGGTCCAGAAGCAATTCCAAAAATTTTTAAGAAGAAACCTTACCAACCTTCCAAAGAGTGAGAAAGGACAAATAGATTTAAAAGGGAAAACTAAAGGGGGAAAAAAAAAAAAGATGCTTCAGCATAGATTCCTACCATAAAGAATGCCAGTGTTCCACCAAAAAGCATCAACAAGCAACTTCGAGCAATATGCCATGAACTGTTAAAATATTTGTTCTTCTGGAAATCATCCCATGGATCCAAGAAGAGAGAAAGAAGAGCTGTCACAACTGCCATCACTGGAGTCACGTAGCTCATGAAGGTAAGTGGGTTTTTCAATCCTGGATACATTTAAATAGAAATTACCTAACAGCAATGCTGTAAAAAATCAGAAAAACAAAGAAGAAAAAAAAGACCAGCTTATTTGAAGAAAACAAGTTACTTTTAGCAAAACCACTTGCAGTCTATCAATACATCTATATATCTATACATTACATTAAAATCATCCCTGGAGGGGGTTCTTTTGCTGTCACATGGCAGTCATGAAAAGTTTTTTATATATTATTAATCAATTTTCTTTCCCTTTATTTTAAGTTACACAAATCTTACCATTCATAAACTTATACATTCATGAATCTATGGAATCTATGAACCCTATTAGTTGTGGATGAATATATTTAAAGTTTAGTGTCATTTAAGTTTAATATTTTGAGTCTAGATTTACATCTGTTGAATAGTACAAATACTCATGAATCAAATCCAGATTGTTCCTATCAATATATGCTCCCTTGGTGTATTTAAATTTTTCATACATAAATAGCAATTATAATTATGCTTTCTGTATATTTAAAAGTTTTATTTCAGTTTGGTCTTTTTTTTTTTTATTAATGTTTCAATTTCAGTTTAGTTTATAATTATGCTTTCTATATAAGTTATTAGTTTTGAATCATGAAATTAAGTTTTTAGTTTTAGTTTATAAGGTTTTAGTTTTAGTGCCAAAGAAGCCTTGGCTTAGTGGCAAGGAAAAGGACCTAGAACTTTAAGATCCCACGTTAAGGTCTCACCATGTATGGGCTTGGTTCAACTTTATGTTAGATTATTTGTCTAGTTATGTTCTAGTTTGTTAGTTGATTATTCAATGATTTCTTATATATAGATGTAATACTCAATTAAGATTGTAACTTCTCTTGTACTTGAAATTTCATTAAAAAAAATAATAATAATAAGTTTTTAGTTTTAGTTTATGCATTAAGAGTTTGAACCAAATGAATTTGTTGACATTATGTACTATTTTTTATTCATTCTTACAAGTTCTTCATTAAAAGTTACATGCTACTCTTTTCGAAAAATATGTATTATTTGTTCATATTGATAACAAAGGTTTTTTTCTTTTAGATCTAGAAGAGACCAAAGCTTGTAAAGGTAAAACTTAAAAGATGTGGATGCAAATAATAATAGATGATATGAGGGTTAAGGAAATAGGTGAAAATAATTTTTTTTTTTATAAAAATAAGTGGCGCAAGAAGATACAAAACTATGAACTAACATGATTCCTTTTCTTGCCTTTCATATAACCGAGTCCCAGAGATATAAGGCTTTAGTTTGTTATTGTTGTTGTACTTATAATAAAGTTTTTTGTACATTTTTTGTCAAGTATCTACTCTAAAATAATTTTTACCAAGTAAAAATACTCTAAGTGAAGCATGGGCAACAATTTAGTATAAATTAAAACCCTCCTTTTTCATAGATATTACAAAAGTTTTCGAGACTATCATTATCAAAATGAGAATTAGAACTTCAAGATTGCCAACTCAACATCCACTCCAAATACTATCCCCTTATAAACTATATCTACTTAAGACAAAAAGGTTCACGAAAATAAAGCTTTTATAACTAGACCTATTAATTGGGTGGGTCGAGTTGGGTTTGGATTAGGTCAATTTAGGTTAGGTCAATCCGGGTATTAAAGTCTGGTCAATTTCAGGTTCAGATTGCTTTGGATTCAAATCATTCGGGTTAGAATCACTTCAGGTTTGGGTCATTTTCGGTTCAAAAATTATCAAGCTCAGATTGTTTCAAGTTTAAGTAATTCAGGTTTTACAATCAAGTTATTCGAATTCGGATCATCTCAGGTTCAATTTATTAATTATTAAAATCAAATCATAATAAATTTAAACAAATTATTAGTAAATTAGCTTTATAACTAGACCTATCAACCATGCGAGGTTTGGGTAAGGTCAATTCAAGTCAAGTCAATTAGGATCTTTAAAAATTCAGATCAATTTCAAGTTCGGGTTATTTTAGATCATGGTCATTTCTAATTTGGATCATTTTGGGTTCGGATCATTGCAAATTCAAATCATTTCGCATTCCAATAATTTGAGTTATTTGATTTTGGGTTATTTTAGATTCAATTTATTTATTTTAAAATCAAATTATACAAAATTTAAACAAATTATGTGATCAAGTCAAATTTTATTAGAATTTTATCGAATGAAAAAAGTATAAATAATAAATACAATTTTAAAAATAAATATAAACATTTTAATTTTTATGCTTTAAATTAAAGTTAGAATTTTATCATTTATAAATATGTGATTTTACTTTTTTATTAAACTAAAATGTTTTTACTAATTAATGTTCATTATAGTTATTGGTTCACTTTCAATCAAATTCAACAAACTCATCTCAATTCTCAACTTTTATACCAAATATATTTCAATTTTAAAGTTAAAACTTTAAAAATGCAATCATTTTTCTTAAACCAATCCAATATTAATATATTACTACCACCTATAGGTCATATATGCCCATAAACAATATGATGAATGATATTATTATTAAACAAAATTATTATCTAGTAAGTCAAATACAATAAAATCCATTTCAATTTTATTTTGTCCCAAATATGTAATGGAGCCATGTGGATGTGGGTCATAATTTACAGGTTACTTTCTATGCCTATAAGGACTATATAACTAGTCTATACATATATGCCATACCAATGTGATATAATTAGGTTTAATGAATTGTTGTCATTTTTTTAAATAATTATTATTGATCTATTTAATTATTTTACCAAGTTAAAAAAATAATAATAAGGAACTTTATTTATAATATAATAAACATAAAAATCAAATTCAATTATAATCCTAGAAGTAATTTATCTTTTATTCTTTCTAAATCATTATTAAGAAGGATAATATTTAAAACTATATAAAAGTGCAATAGTAAAAAAATTTTGAAAGATAAGTTATAAAATTAAAATTAATTAATAATTTATATTATATTTATTATTTTCATTAAAATAATACTTTTAGAAATAAAATTATATATAATTTAAGTTTAGCTAATCTTTCAAGTCATTCAAATTCGGATCATTTCGAATCTGTCATTTCAAGTTCGGATCCTTGAGGTTTAGCTAGCTTTTTGATTCAGGTTGTTGAGTGTTAACTTTTCCTAGTCCAATCGGATTAGATCGGGGTCAGGTTTTGGTGGGTTGGACAGATTTCATGTTCAAGTCAGATTGGACAGGTCTATTTTTAATTAAATTAAACCGAACTATTAAGCAACCATTTATTGTATGCATAAATCAATGGAAGTAACCATATCTCACATGAGTTATCTAGAGAAATGATATAACCTAGGATATAGTGCAATATGCCTGGAGAACTTAATATTGCAGTAGACAAATTCCTCTCCACGTTAATGCTAATAAAAGATTTCTCATGTTTAAACAAAATGAAGGGTATGTTATTCCTTCTTAGACACGGGAACATCCAACACAAACTCAATCACCAGTCCAGCAAAAATCAAATAGAGTACAAGTCTTTTGGCAATAATGGTGAGAACGTTGTCTAAATTAAGAATGGATGATGATAATATCATGCAAACATACTGATCCAAAACCATAGAAAAGAATGTAAATAACGTGGTGATGTAATAAAATAACAAAGAAAGGGAAAAAAATGGTAAACTTCAAAAGAGAGAGACCACTTACCATAGGCTTCTTTCTATAGATAGTAGCCCATTCCAGCCACCATTACCATTGAAAAGTCAATTTGGAAGCAACAATTAAATAATCAATATAATTAGTAAAGAGAAAAGAAAAATATCGAGAAAACTGGATCAAATAATTGAACTCTATGTGTAATATATCATGTAAAATGAATCAAAGCCATACCTGCAAAAGTATTTGAGTCATGCACCAGCGAAAACCAGACATAACAGCAGCAAGCATGACAAAAACAAAACCCCAAAACTCGAAATCTGTCTCCTTTGCAACTGGAATAAAAAAGATCAAGCTTTACAGGTGTTATAAATATTTGACATTGTAAAAGCTTGAGAGAGGGGGAGAGAGAGAGAAGCAACAGAAAAAACGGACACCATCAATACCTGCTCAAATATTAGACAAACTCACTGTAAAAAGTTATTTTAGTCTGTCAAAATGATTTGGATGATTATGAACCAATTTAGCATCAGAAAGAGATTGCAACAGTGTAGTGAAAAGTGCAATTGTTAAAGTTGATGATTCTTAAAATAATGACAATGTGATCAGAGATAAAATTACTATTAAGGATATCATCAAAATGAGATTACAATAAATTATATATTCATAACATATTTTATTTGACGTTTGAAATTATCAAAAATAATATTTCAATTATATTAAATAAATAATTTTCTCAAAATATACAATTTATTTGTCAAATGATATAAAAATTATCACATCTAAAAAATAAAAGTAAAACTATATAAGTACCAAAAAAAGATTTTAAAAAATGAGTTTTAAAACTGATTTCAACACTTGTATCATTAATTTACGTTACTTACATTATCAAAATGTTCTTTGTTCCGAAGTTTTATATTGCTTTGTAACTTAATTATGAAACATTTTTTTTTAATTTTTTATTCTATTATAATAAAGAATTTTATTTAATTGATTATACAAAAATTATACATAGCTTTCATTTTATTGGACCAGGAGCACAAACTTGTCAGAATTTTCAGCAGCTATTACACCTACATGGACTGTGTGAAGCAACCCAACCCAGCTGTGAAACCTAAGAAAATGTAGTTGTGAATCCAAGATTTCCCACCATTTTCTTCTTTACTACTCCCTCCATTGCAAGTTGAATGTTCATCTTTCTGTTATGTGAGTCTCAAAAATGTCCACTTTCCCAAAACAGTATTTTTCCAATGTTGCCCTTCACCAAAATACTAACTTTGGATGGGCCTCTCTAGCCTTTATAAATTGTAATGGTAAAAGTAGTAAAGGAACAAAATACTTCATTCCTAAAACTTTGAGCTGTTGGTAAAGTGGACATCCAATTTTCGAAGGAGGAAGTATTTTTTATTATCACTTCAGTTACAGATTAAAAATCATTCCTATATCAAGCTCTTTCAGCATTAGAAGAGTCACCAATCACTCCCAAACAAACTCACCACAATTAAGTAAATACATCAAATTTCAACCCTAGCCCTAAACTGCTTTTCACAGGTCCATTTACAGTACAAAGACAGCATCTAGATAGCATTCTAAATTACAATTTCTGTGTTCAGTTAGAACCCCATATTAATAGCTTAAAAGCCCTAATTCTAGTAATGATTTTCCATCCTTTTGACATCAATTAAACAAAAAAAATAGTCTCAAACCCCTGAAACAGACTGCTGCTTTTCAACAATTACCAACCTACTGTCATATTAATGCAAGCCTCCCTTCAAGTTTTACATCTCTCATACTACCACATGAACTCCAATATGTTTTATATTCATGTGAATCATGAAATGCCAAAAATCATAGGAACAAATAACATGCCTTCAATGTCTTATTGAATAAAATTAAGGATTTAGTTTCCAAAATGCTTGACAACTTTAAGAAAGGTGAAAAGAGGATGATACTCCATAAAGACAGAAGCCAAAAGATAGAATATCTTTGTCCATTAGTGAAGCATTAAAGCAATTAATCATTACTACAACAATGGCCTATGGGTCCCACACCAAATTTCCTACTGAAGAAATCTCTAGAATAAAACTATTTTATTCTTCTATATTTTTCTTATTACAATACTAGAATTGCATGAAAATATATAAGCTAAAGGCCGAATATTCTCAGCCTTAAAACCCAAGATTTTCATGCATTAAAACAACTAATCAAATGAGTAATTTACTGTCTACATATAATAGAAAAATATCTAATGGATTTGGTGTAATTACCCAAATCACTCCTTATTCTAAAAATAAGAGACTTAACTAAAACAGATAAAGCCAATCAATCAAGTAATAATGAAGATTAGATTTCCATACTCCCCCTCAAGCTGGGTGGTAGATGTCAATCATGCCCAACTTAGACTTCAGATTCTCGAAGTTGTTTCAAGAGAGAGCTTTAGTGAGTATGTCTGCAGTTTGGAGGCATGTGGAAGTATAAACTAATCTAACAATTCCTTCCTCTATCTTCTCTTTGATGACATGACGATCAATCTCCACATGTTTAGTCCTATCATGATGAACAGGATTCTTTGTTATACTTATGGTAGCTTTGTTGTCACAGAATATCTTCATGGATTCTTCTGCAGAAACCTTTAACTCCCTTAGCAACCTTTTCAACCAAATTCCCTCACATATGCCATGAGACACAGCTCTAAACTCAACTTCCTCGCTACTTCTAGCCACTACAAATTGCCTTTTGCTTCGCCAAGTAACCAAATTTCCCCACACATAGGTACAAAATCGATAGTTGATCTTCAGTCAGTAATAGATCCAGCCCAATCAGCATCAGTGAAAATTTCAACATTTTGATGTGATGTCTTATTAAAAATTAACCCTTTACCAAGATTTTTCTTTAGGTAATACAAGATTCGATACACAGCCCTCAAGTGTTCCTTGGTTGAGTTGTTCATGAATCTGCTTATCATGCTAACCGAAAAACCAATATCTGGTCTTGTATGAGAGGTACATAAGTTTCCCAACAAGTATTTGATATCAACCCTTATCTGTTGGTGGACTTCCTTCTTCTATTCCTACCTTATTCATTATGTCCATAGAGGTGTCAACAGGTTTGCATCCAAGCATTCCAATTTCCTTTAGTAAGTCTAGGACACATTTACGCTGTGAATCAGAGATGCCATTCCTTGAGCGAGCTACCTCTATACCAAGAAAATATTTGAGGTGTCCCAAATCTTTGGTTTCAAATTCTTTGGCTAGAAGGTTCTTTAGGTGGCTAATTTCTTCCACATAGTCTCCAATAAAAATAATGTCATCCACATGACAATAAAAATGGCTATTTTTCCATCAGGTGAATGTTTGACAAACATGGTGTGATCAGTCTGGCATTGTGAAAAACCATACTTCTTTACCACCTTTGTTAGTCTATCAAACCATGCACATGGGGATTGTTTGAGACCATATAAAGACTTTTGAAGTTTACATACCTTACTAGAATTGTCCTGATTTTTAAATCCTGAAGGGATTTTCATGTAAACTTCTTCTTATAGGTCGCTATTAAGAAATGCATTTTTGACATCTAGTTGGTGGAATACCAATCTAGATTTGCTACCAATGATAATAACACCCTAATTGAATTAATTTTAGCAATCGGAGCAAATGTCTCCCCATAGTTAACACCATAAGATTGAGTAAATCCTTTTGCAATAAGGCGAGCTTTGAATCTATTAATACATTCATCTACATTGTGCTTGATAGTAAAAATCCATTTACACCCAACTGGATTTTTTCATTTGGGTAATTCTGAAATCTCCCATGTTTTGTTCTTTTCTATGGCATTGATTTCTTCCAAAACAGCCATCTTCCATTTTGGTTGCATGAGTGTTTCATGAATATTATTGGGAATCTACATATTGTTTAGAGTGGTAACAAAAGCTTGATAAATGGGTGATAAACCTTCATAAGAAACCACATTACAGATTGGGTGTTGAGTACATGATCTCACACCTTTCTTTAGAGAAATCGGTTTATTAAGATCATCAAAAGATTCAATTAAATCAAATTCAGTAAGATTGTTACCTGTGTTGGTTTCAAATATCTCTGAAATCAATTTAGATTCTTGGTTTTGCTTTGAAGGTGTACATTCTCCTAGATCCTTCTAAGTTTTATTTCTTCTTGAATAGACAATCAATTCTTTGTTTGTTTTCCCTTGTGTGGACTTTGAGCATGGAGGATCTGGTCGGATGTTTTGGACTTGAAACGAGCTTGGAGAATCTAGTTGGATATTTTGGACATGAAAAGGAGTTGGAGAAGTGTTTGGTGATTCCATAATAGGATCTTCCCAAAGCTGATATTCTCGTGTAATTGGATTCTCCCCCTGAATGGCAGTTTTGGGAAAGTAAGGTTGATTTTTGAAAAAGGTAACATTCATGGAATGGTAGAATTTCTTTGTTACTGGTAAGTAATACTTGTATCCTTTTTGATTTAGAGAGTATCCGAGAAATATGCATTTGTGGGATTTGGGATCTAATTTGCTTTGGTTTTGTTGGCTGGCAAGAACCAATGTAGTGCATCCAAACACTTTAATGGGAATAGACAAAATGATTCGAAGGTGAGGATAGAAACTGAGAAGAGATTGTCAAGGGGTTTGAAATTTCAGGACTTGAGAAGGCATTCTGTTTATAAGATATGTAAAGATAAGAACAGTCTCACCCCAAAAATACTTAGGTACATAGGTAGCCATCATGAGGGATCTTGCAACTTCCAACAATGTCGATTCTTTCTTTCAGCAACACCATTCTGTTGAAGAGTATCGACACATGAGCTTTAATGAATTATACCATACTTCATTAAATATGATCCAAGGATTGAATTCTAGTATTCTCTCACATTGTCGATTCTCAACACTTGGACTTTGGTTTTGAATTGAGTTTGAATCATATTGTTAAAGTTTTGGAATAACTGGCCTACTTCTAATTTTTCCTTCATAAGAAACACCCAAGTAACCTTGGTGTGATTGTCAATAAATGTGACAAGCCATCCAGAAGCAGTAATGTTATTTACTCTAGAGGGATCCTAAATGTCACTATGTATCATTGAAAAAGGATGGGATGATTTGTAAGGCTGATTAAGATATAGGGTACGGGTATGTGTGGATAGTTGGCAGACTTCACACTAAAGGTTGTTAGGATTTTTATTGAATAATGAGGGAAACAACCTTTTGAGGTACAAAAAGTTTGGATGATCTAACTGATAGTGCCACAACATGATATTACTATCTTTATTATTACTAGAGGATGAAGCCACACAAGAAGTCTTCTGATATTGCCTTTCAAAATCATTAACTCTTTGGATATAGCGTCCTACACACATCTTAGCATTGCCAATCATCTTCTCCAAGTCCAAATCCTGAAATTCACACATATTTGAAAGAACTTTAGTAACATACTTAAGGTCTCTTGTAACTTTGCTTATTGATAGTAGATTGCAACTTAGATTTGAGATAAACAGAACAGAATCAAGTGTCATCTCTTTGGAAATAATAATAGAACCTACACCAGCCACTTTTGAAAGTGACCCATCAGCAATTCGAATTGTGAAATTTTCATAACATGGGTTGTATTTGCTGAATACAGATGCATCCCCAGTCAGATGGTCTAAAGCTCCTGAATCCACAATCTATGAATTTGATTTCTCTAGTTTTACACTCAAGGCACTTAGAAAATTACCTTTTGTGCTAAAGAACCTGTTCCAATAACACTAGATCCGGGGTTAGAGGTAACCTCCGACGCTGGGCTCTCCCCTTCGTCAACCATGCTGGACTTTGAGTGAAAATTTTTAAAGGTTCAGATCGTGCTCTAATACCATCAAGAAATCTCTAGAATAAAACTATTTTATTCTTCTATATTTTTCTTATTAAAATATTAGAATTGCATGAAAATATATAGGTTAAAGACTGAATATTCTCAACCTTAAAACCTAAGATTTTCATGCATTAAAACAGTTAATCAAATGAGTAATTTACTCTCTACATATAATAGAAAAATATCTAATGGATTTGGTGAAATTATCCAAATTCTAAAAATAAGAGACTTCACTAAAATAGATAAAGTCAATCAATCAAGTAATAATGAAGATTAGATTTCCACACCTAAAAGAAAATTAGGCCAGGTGCACATTACTCACAATTAGGAAGCAATACATATATCTAGTAACTACTACCTTTCTTCCACTTCATACTTCATAATTTGAGTAAGAAAAATACATGCAACAGTGAAGGTGCTGTATGTATAGAAATTGAATTGCTTATAAGAAACATATGAAATTGTCAAGAATCCACACCTGTTAATAGAATCCCAACAGAGATTACCAAGATAATTCCTAATAGCTTAAGGCTTGGAGATTCCAACCTTTCAAAAAACATTCAACATCAATATCAGAGCAAGAAGGGGCATGAGAAAAAATACAATCGATTCTCAGGAAAAACAGAAAATGAAGCAGTTAGACTGACAGATATCTGAAGACAACATGCGACAAAAACTAATTGATATTCAGAGCATGTTACACGGACTCTTCACTTTACTCTAATGTATCCGTCTCTAACACTTCTGGGCACTTCCCTCTATATATATGGGTCTGACTCTTTGATCCTCAAAATTAATGTAAAAGATTGTCAAAAAACATAGTATTCTTGTATCTGACACCCTATGTCAAGTCCATGTAACATACCCAGTTCCTAGGCTCAACTGAGTTAATCTTATAATAAAATAGCATAGGTGTATTAAGTTACCAAATAGATATGTTCCATTTTCATCCCTAATAAGCATAAAAACAACTGAAAGCTTCAAATATGATCATGATAAATCAATAAAACAAACAGTTTTTTTAAAGAAATAAAATTAAAGTTCTAAGATTGGTTTAGCATAAAAAGTGAGAGTTAAACAAAGTCCAAAAATGAATTTAAGTAACTATCTGACAGTTACACAGTAAAAGTAATTATATAATCAACAAGACAGCTGTCCTTTCAATCAGTGAATTTGAACCCAAGCTCCATCCTAGTCCCACCAACAAATTTGGTCAACACTTGAGCTAATAAGAGGCTCAATAAAGCCTTAATTCAACAACTTTAGGGTAGATGCATTTACTAAGTTACACTATGTTCTGGAAGATATTATTAGTTCAATAAATTACTCCACATTATGGATGCATTCACTAGTATTTGATGTAGACCATAGAAACATGGTTTTGAATTTTCATCATCTTTTTTGGTTGCTTTAGATCTTTTGGATGTAGACCTTGACCAGACAAAATGGATAAAGCAGATTCAAGTGGACAACCCCAACTAGTTTGGGAATTAAGGTTAAAATCACTTTTGCTGGGATATTATTGGTGCTAATTCTAATGCAAGTTTAGCTCAATTACATAACTAACCACACCATTTAGTTCAGCATAAAACTAAGGAACTTATCCTGGAGTGGTGAACCCCTCATCTTTTTCAGGGAAAAACTTTTAAAGTCAAAATCATGCAGTCATACTCTTTTATCAAGACAAGCAATTATGAGTTTTCTAAAAGAGGCCAGTTGTCTAACATTCGGAATAATTGCCTTCTAGTTAAAAGGGCACAGATGCATGTCAAGGTTTGAAGATGAGTGAGCAAAGGGTCAAAGCTAACACATGAATAAAGTTGGTTCAAGGAAAAGTCTAACGAATCCTGAGATAGGGTCCTGATAGAGTTAGTTCCTAAGAAGCCAACCCAGTAGACTAACCAAACTATTTTTTTTTATTTTAACAATGCCTAAATTTCTAATAAAAGAAGTTTCTGATGTGTAGGTATATTTATTCTCCAATGTCCAATCACAAAATCCTATACAGTGGTTCATCCAACCTTCATTGTTTTGGCAATATTGCTATTGCCATGACCAAAAAAAAAAAGGCAATTAAGGAAAATAAATGAAATAACAATCGACCATCATCTAAAGGATACTCTCAAAATGCATTGTTTCAAGCTTCTAATAAGCATTAACTACCAAATTACTTAGTTCTACATCTACAAAAAGAGCTTCATCCCTAAATTTGAAGACCCTTTAAACAGCTCAGCACCATTAAAACATGAACAATAGACATGAAATCAATTTGAAAACTCACCTTAATGCAAATGCAAATAGGAGAAGAAATATAGGTGCTGCAGATTTACACTGCAGGGTACACAGGAAAAATATTTTAGTCAACAACACAACCTAAAAAGGAAAACTCAAAAGGCATGTTCACAGACTGGAGGAGGCAATTCATCTGGATGAGACTAAATATTCATCAAAATATAGAGTATATAGAGTATAGAAAAGTTATCAAACCATTGTAGCAAAAGTAACAGATATGAAAACCAGGGATGCATTGCTCAGATTAACATCCAGTGCTGTTGAAAGAGCCGTAGGTACAACTGTGAAAGGCAAAGTCCATCTGTACATTAGTTGATAGAAAAGTTAATAACATAAGTTACAGAGAAAGGCAAAGAGGTGGAAAAGCCATGCAAGAACAGAAGACTAGGATTTTAAAACACTAAATCTAAGTGCAACCATGCATTTAGATTTGAGCTAATGATGTAAAATTAAACAGATAATTTACAAATTTATTTCCATCGACAACATGCAAGTGCCAAATTCATATTATAAAGAAGCATGAAGGAACATATGTTTGATGAATTTACCTCTATAGAAGTAATCCCTCCATGACATTGGAACGGTAAGCTGAAATCTATGAGACCAATACCACGTGATCACCTTTGATAAAACAGCTTGCATGGTGAAGTGAACAGTATTCATCAATAAGGGAGCTGGAAACTTTCCCAAGTCATCTCCCAACAAGGTTTTGTTGTACCTACTCAAAGCAAAATATAAGAGGGACAATGAACAAGCTTCAAAACAAATGATTTAAAATTTAGCTACCATGCTGCTGTGATTAGTTTAAGATGGACTTACAAGGTCAAAAATGTGCTGAAAGTGTACCATACAAGTATAAAGAACAATGTCTTCAACACATCCACTGAAGAAACAGGGCTGTTAGAATTCAGTGACAATGCTTTTGGATTGCCAGTAGAATTGGCTCCATCAATACCAATATTTGATGATCTTATGTCCCCAGCATACTCATTTTCAATATCAAAAGGTTCATATTTTCCATCTCTATCTCCTCCATGTCTGTCTTCCATGGTTCTACTACCATTCAAGTGCATACTTTGCTCTGAAAATTTACTGTATCTAACCCCTTCAACAAACCCATTTTGTAACTCACTCTGATTAAGCATAGGTAACTCAAAATCAGAGTCTTCTACAGTTGAATCACTATTCTCTGAACGGCTTTCCAAATGGATTGTCCCATCGTCATCGACCCAGCGAGAGAAGGAAGGCTCCCTGCGAAGACCTGAACCTTGATTTCCAGTCTGAGTATCAGTTGTCCCCGTGCATCCAACTGTTTCTTTATTAAAATTACTCTCTACCATATCCTTTCTTATTCTAAGTTAGAGCCATCTATGCACTGCATTAGAACACAACTCGCCAATGCCCAATAAGTGCCTTCTTTTTCCATCAATTTATGCAACTATATCATTTGCTCAGGTTTACCACATGAAACTATTTTGTGAACAATATTTTGAGCATCAAATGAATTAAGAATCAACTAAATATATTAAAAAAGTTCTGCCACTCCACTTAGGTTAGATCATTCAAAAACCCCAGATGTCACCTGTCGCAATCAAATATAACCGCAAAAATTGAGTATAATACAGCTTCATTTAAAAGAAAAGGTGAAGAAAATATGAAAAAACAGAAAATTTTAATTTCCATTGTCAATAACCTGGCATTATTTTTCCAAAAGAAATTTTGATATTTATTCAGTTTTCCCAGTGATAAAACAAAGCATTAAATGAACTCATTAGGAAAAATAAACCCCACCTCGCCATCTCTTAGATTATCCCATATAAGAATTCGATTGAATGAAGAAAGAAAAAAGAAAAAACTCTATAAACAAACCAGCATTTGGAATCAGAAAAATATGTAATACAAATTAAAAAAAAAAAGCTGAATCGAACCAATAAGAAGCTCAATGAATTTCAAAAATGACATAAACTTAGATGAAAAAAAAAAAAGGAAAAGACATTGGAGTGACCTGGTCAAGTATTATTGAGATCCAAAGCGGTGAAGAAAAATAAGAGAGAAAGGACTTTAAATTAAAAAAACAAAAAGGAAAAATGAGAGATCTGATCTTGTAATCGATTAAGGATTGTGGATTATTAATGAAATAAAGTTGATGCTGGTGAATGTTGGTGCCCAGTCAATGGATGCGTCTGTGTGAGCGTTGTTGTCTGCTGTTGTTGTTTTTGGTTTGTCTCAAAATCGTAGATTCAAAGATACAATTATGTTTTTGCTTTTCTTTTCGTTTTTTTCCCTTTTTTTTCCTATCTTCTGCTCTAATTTTGAATTTTCTTTTTTTAAAAAACAAATAGCATCATCAAATTTCCATTTTTTTCTAATACCATTAAAAAAATATTAGATCTTTATTTTTAATAACTTCCACAAGTAGATTTACAGTTTATAATTTTTAGGAGTTCATCTAAGTATAATTATAAAATTCAAAAAGGTTAATCCAATTTAATAATTGGTATATTCATGTCATTTGTTTTTTGTATCAAATACGTACAAGATATAAAAATTTTTATATCATAATTTATATTAACACGTAAAATATAAAATATTTTTATTTTTTTAAATCTAAATATAAATTTTATTAAAATTTTAAATCGTATCATATTTATATTGTGCCATCATGTTATATTTAAAACTAGCAAATTCAGTACAATTAATAATAAGGTTTTTTTCTTTGACAACTTAGTTTGATTTTTGTGAAAAATATTCTAGATTAAAATATTGAATTCTTTAACTTAATTTTTAAAAAATACCTCTTAAAATGATCTGAATAAAAAATTAAACTCTAATGAAACTTAAAAAGTAAGTGTATCACCAATATATAAAATTAATTAATTAATTAAATTAAATTAAATTAGTGTTTTATATCATTTTCAAAATTATCATAATAATATAATTACTATAGTAATAAAATCACCAAAGTGATTTTAGATGACCATATTTAATACAATATTATAAATCACTAGTATTTTTAAATCATTGTGTTAGGTATTATATGAAAAAAAAAATTCATATAGTACAAAATTATCCAAAAGAACTTTACAAAAAAGTAAAATATTTAATATTTATTAAATCAACAATTTATAAAATAATTAAACATTATTTCATAGAAAATCACAAAGTATAGATCAATTTTGATAAAAATAAATTTTAAAAAACTATTAAATAAAATGGGTAAATTTCATTAATATATCATGTGGTTATGGTTGAAATGAAAGTACTTCCTGAAGTTTAAAACATGACACTTAATTATCTTACAATTTATTTTATTATTCTTTTACCCAAAACCATTATTTTTTTTCGTTTCTTTTTATTTTTTCCTTTTTATTCATCTCAATTCATATTCTCTTTCTAAAAATTCATTCACTGTCTCTAAAACCAAACCAATTCTCTCTCTAAACCCAATTCAATCCATAAATAGTAACATTCAAATCATCAAAACCCCCATACCACCACTACTATTACAAATTCACATCATCACTAGACTAGACGATTACCACCAAATCCAACAGCAATCGAGTAACCTCACTATTACCATCACCATTACTAAACAATCAACCCTTCCATTAATACCAATAATTTATCAAAGAATCAAACAAAATCATTCCCAATAACTTACAAATAGAAAACCCAAAAAATGCAACCAAATCAAGGATATTTGGTTTTTCACAAGTATTGAAAGAAAGAGACAAACACCAAAAAAAAAAAAAAAAGAACAACGAGGAAGCTAGAAAGGATATTTCATGGGTTTGTCAATGTCAACATACAGTGGTGAAGTAACAGCGATAGTAAGGTTCAGCGAATTATAGGATTTGAGCATTGGTTGATAAATTTGTTCTTAAAAAAATATTTAGAAAAAAGAAAAAGGGTCTGGTGATTTTAAAGAGAGAGAATGAGTTAACAATAAAGTTTGGAGGTGATGTGAACTTGTAATGGTGATGATGATGTGAACTTGTAATGGTAATGATAGTGTGGAGGATCTAGTGGTTTGAAGGTTATTGTTTGTGGATTGGTCTGGATTTAAAGAAAAAATTGGTTTGGTTTGAGAGATAAAACAAAAAAAAAAGTTTTGATAAAAAAAATAAATCATACGGTATTTAAGTATTATATTTTAAATCTCAAAAGACACTTTCATTTTGATCTTAATCACAAATGTATATTTATGAAGTTTACCCTAAATAAATTTATTATTTTTTAATCAATATAAATTTATATCATAAAACTTTTTCATAATAAATAATTAAAAAATCACTTTTTTTTTATTTTTTAAGTGGCTAGCTTCCTGGAGTAATATTAACTATAGTTTTGGAAGGGTAAATTAGTCAAAATTAATATTTAAAATTATTTTCTCATTATGATAAAACTTTTTTATCCTTGAGGTTGAGAATCAAATCACTTTCCAAGACGGTGATCTTATTACCTTAGTGATTTAAAATCACTATCACGTAGGATTTCTAAATTGCTACCATGATATAATTACTAAGTGCAAATCACCATAGTTTTTAAATGAATCACCCCATAGCAAACACTCTTTTAAGAAATTTTTTTTTGATTAAAGAGTTTATGATGTGTTTGGTACACAAGATTATAATATGATAGGATAAAATAATATTATGATTATGATTAGATTAAATAATGTCATCCCATCTTATGTTTAATGGGTGTAAGAATTAAAATAAGATAATTTATTTATTGGTCAAAATTATTCTTTATCAAAGTTTATACAATTTAAATTATTGATATAATATTAAGTGTATAACAGGACATGTAAATTTAATCTTATGGATTAAAAATAATCATCTCCATTTTTTAGAGGATTAAATCATCCTATCCCAAAAGGATAATTAATCATTCTTGTAATCATATCCCTTTTTTTATATACAAACCAAACGTAACATAAGATGATTATTATCCTATTTTATCTATTATTTTATGTATCAAACATGACCTTATGTATTATTATCAATTAAGTGCTTTATTTATCTCTACTCCATAATCTTTATTGGTAAGTTTCTTTGGTTGAGATTAATTATTTGCTATCCACTTACGCCAAAATCTCAAACATTAATTTTCAGCTAACCACTAACATCAAAATCTCAAACCTCTTTAACTAATAGAACATGAAATTATTCAAATTGAAAATAGTATGTGCATTGCACATGCTTTTTTCTTTTTCTTTTTTTTATATTAATGTTTCGTACTTTTCTTACTTTATTAGTATACTATATATAATTATTTTACAAAAACTTCTAAGATTTTCATAATATATTAAGGATTAATCTAAATTCAATCTTTTTATTATATCAATTTTTTAATTTTAGTTTCTTTTCCCTAATTTTAACAAATTTAATCTTTATATTTTTATTAAAATTTAATATAAGAATAAATGATAAAAATGTTAAAATTATAAAGTTAATTTTGGCATGTGATAGGTGATATATCACTTGAACGTTTTAAATCATCTAGCATTTATTAGTGTAAAAAAAAAAAACTTAATTTTTGTAAAAATTGCCAAAATTTTTTGTTTGAATTTTTAAAATTATTAAAATAAAGATAATATATTTCAATTGATATCTATCATGAAATCAAAAAATTAATTCAACTCAATATATTTATCACGTGACTATTACCTTCTTCCCATAAAATCGGCTTATTAAGGTGTATAATGCCAACTCTTATATACCCAACAACCTTTCCTTTCCTAACTGATGTGCGATTAAAGCATCTTGCCTACTCTTTTGGATTGTTTGGTGTGACATTCTCTCTAACCCAGTCTTATAACTCCCTCATCACAGTTGTCACCCCTGTTGCTCTCATTTGGAATGCTTGGCATGGCAAACTTTGCCACTATGTCTTATTTTGATACCTTGTTAAATGACAGACTAGCCCACCCTAGTACCCCAACTAGAGCACTTGGTATGGAGTCGAATGATTTAATAGTTTACTATAATACCACTTACCATATGGCCATTACCCTATCCTCATAAAACCAGCTTATTGAGGTATGCAGCACCAATACTTATATACCCAGTGACTTTACATTTCTTATTCGATAGGGGATTGAAACACCCTACCTACTCTTTTGAAATTCTTGACATGACATATCACGTCATCTCTAAAATGTCACATATTTCAAAAATAAAAATTTAATACTCTTATTAATTATCCTTAAATTAATGTTTAATAAAATGGTTAAATATAAAAATGACCTTTATACTACATTTTCTCTTAGTTTGGTACCTAAAGAAATAAAATTTTCAGTTTGATACTTTAACTTTCATTCTATTATCCACTTTGGTACTTGAAATTAATGTTGTTAGTCAAGTTACTAACATGATATGAATATTCAATAAGATGCTGACATGTGTCAAAAAGTCTACTTAATACCACATTATCAATTGCTACGTCAACATTAAAAAAAAATTTATAAAAATTCAAAAAAAATCTAAAATATTTTTAAAAATCTAAAATATTTGAAAAATATATAAAAAAAATATGAAATACTTTAAAATTTTTTAAAAATATGAAAACTCAAAAAATCAAAATTTTAATAAAAAATCCAAAAAATTCAAAAAAATTTAAAAAATTTAAAATTTTAATAAAAATAAAATTTTCTTAAAATTAAAAAAATTAAAAAATTGAAAATAATAAAATCTAAACTTTTTTGAAAAAAATCTAAAAATTTTAAAAAATTATAATTTTTTTAAAAAAACTGTAAAATTTTTTTTTAATTATGAAAAATTTTCACTCTTTTCTTAATGTTACAATTTTTTTATATATTTTATGAATTTTTTAGATTTTTTTTGAATTTTTAAGATTTTTTATTGAAATTTTAAGTTCTTTTAATTTTTAATTTTTCAAAAAATTTTAGATTTTTTATTTTCAATTTTTTATGCTTGTGATTTTTTTTTAATTTTAAAAA